AGGGTCTCACTATGCAGTTCAGGCTGGCCTTGAGTTCACTTTGTAGCCCAGGCTGGTCTCAATCCTCCTGCCTCAGCCTCCCGAGTGCTGGGATTACAAATGTGTATTACCACGCCTAGCTCATCTTTCAGGTTCTTATAGTAGGGAGGAAATATGTTTACACATGTGAATCTGATTTATTTCATTTATCAGTATTGTCTCTAGGTGCACCCATTTACCTATAAAAGCCTCTAGTTTATCTTTCTTTATAACTGAGTAATACTCCATTGTATAAAAATACCACATCTGTTTTATCCATTCCTCAGCTGATGGACATTTGGGTTGTTTCCAAGATTTAGCTATTACAAATTGTGCTGCTATAAACATGGGTGCATATATATAGCTGTGGTATGATGTTTTCTGTTCTTCTGGAAAAATACCTAGAAGGGGAAAAGCTGAGTTGAATGGAACCTCTAATTCTAGTTTACCGAGGAATCTCCACACTGATTTTCACAGTGGTTGTACCAGCTACATTCCCACCTACAGTGGAGAAGTGTTCCTTTTCCCCACAGCCCTCCCAGCATTTGTTGTTGGTTGATTTCTTGGTGATAGCCATTCTTTCTGGGGTGAGATGGAATCTCAGTGTTGTTTTAATTTGCATTTTTTGAATGACTAATGATGTTGAACATTTTTTTTTGTGTATTTATTTGCCATTTGTATTTCTGCATCTGAGAAGTGTGTATTCATCTCAGATGCCTATTTTTGTATTGGGTCTTTTAATTTTGGGGGCCTGATTTTTAAAAATTCTTTATGTGTTCTAGACAGGAGCCCTGTGTCTGAGGGACAGTTGGTTAAAATTTTTTCCCAATTTGTGGGTTTTCTTTTCACGCTGTTGGTGATTTCTTTTGAAGTGCAGAAACTTTTCAATAAGATGAGATCCCAGGTGTTGATTCTTTGAAGTATTTCCTGTGGAGTTCAGTTTTTGTTCATGAACTCTCTGCCTACCCCTATGTCTTTGAGAGTTTTACCTACTTTCTTTTCCAGTAGATTTAGTGTTTCTGTTTTAATTCTTAGATCTTTGATCCATTTTGACTTTAATTTAGTTCATGGTGATAGACATGGCTCTAGTTTTAATTTTTGGCATGTGGAAAGCCAGTTTTTCCAGCACCATTTACTGAAGAGGCTATCTTTCTTCCAGTGAACATGTTGACCCCTTTGTCAAAGATAAGGTAGCTAAATGTCTCTGTGGTTGTGTGAACATCTTCTAGTCTGTTCCACTGATCTTCAGGCCTGGTTTTTTGGCAATGCCATTCTGATTTTATCACAGTAGCTTTGTTGTATAATTTCAAATTGGGGATTGTGACACCTCCTGCCTTGCCTTTGTTTCTCAGGATTGCTTTTGCTATTCTGGTTCCAGATGAATTTTAGAACTATTTTCTCTAGGTCTGTGAGATATACTAATGGTATTTTAATTGGGATTGCATTGAATCTGTACAACAATTTTGGGAGTATGGCCATTTTCTCAATGTTCGTTCTTCCTATCCACGAGGAAGGAATATCTTTGCATTTTTTGAAATCCTCTTCAATCTCTTTTTTCACAGTACTGTAATTTTGACTGTATAGATCTTTTGCTTCTTTTGTTAGATTGATTCCTAAGTATTTCAGTTTTCTGGATGCTATTGTGAAAGACATTGTTTCCATTATTTCTCTCTCAGTATGTTTGTTGTTTGTGTACAGGAATGCTATTGATTTTGAGTGTTGATTTTGTAGTCAGCTGTGCTACTGAATTTGTTGATTAATTCTAGGAGTTTTTGGTGTGTTCTGTGTAGAGTATCATGTCATCTGCCAATAAATCCAGCCAGAAATCTTGCCCAAAGTTTAGACCAAGGCATTGGCATTGACAGGAGGTACCTGGCCCACTAGATGGCCCCGCAATTGCTCCAGTCTCACCCTTAACATACAATAATGAAAAGCCCTTATTCAATGTTTCTTTTGACAAAGGTTTCTGGTAAAATGTGTGTATGTTTAGCTGATATAATAATATTAAAATTACCCCAGATTGTGTGAGTGGTGCTATATTCATCAAAAAGTAAATGGAAATCAGTTGCTTTCATTAGAAAAGCTGTCATGCTTTCTTTCTGAGAGACTCCCCCTACATTTTGCTTAAATGAACACCGTTTCCACTGTAAAGAAACACTGTTGCCACTGGTTTTTGGTATTGCCAAAAACCCAGACCTGAAGATCAGTGGAACAGACTAGGAGATGCTGACACAACCACAGAGACACTCAGCTACTCAGATAGTGACCCATCTGTCACCTTTGTGTGCCTACAGATCCACCAGCTCTGAGCACTTCTTAGCAAGATGAGCATTTCCAGCATCTTAAAGTCCGTCCTCCTGACTGGATACCTTTGCTTCCTCTCCTTGCCCCAACCTTTCCAAGAACTTTTACCTACAGTTGTCCACTACTGCTTTTCTTCCCTACAGTGCTGTTTTTCAGAGTTGGGTTCTTGGGGGATAATGATAAGACTCAAGGAAATAAGTACATGGTTTTCCTCTTTCTGGTGCCGGTTAAGATGATTGGTGCTTTGGGGCCTTGTGAGCCTCTTTGAAAACAACAGAGCTCACTGGAATTCCAGCAGCTCACCTCCTGAAGGCTGAGCGTGTCTGGGCAATGGCTGCATAATTTGGACGGAGTCATTACTGACGAGGCGGAGTTGGCTAAGCCAGGGAGTACTTGTTGCTCTTTTTAAACTCCACAGCACCAGAGATGAAGTCACATTTCTTCTTTTAAAGTGAAACAGATTTGCCCTGTGAGTCTGTCGCTTCTGTTAGAACTTAGTGCTTTTTGTACTGCTGGTCACCTGGACTTCCTCTCAGGTAAGAAAACTTTTACTTAGTGGGTTTTATCTGGAAAAGCTTAATCTGAGGAGACTTTGGAGGGCATCTCTGGGTATATTTTGAATGAATCAAGAGATACTCAATTGGATGGGGCAGATGACTGGTTCCATGGTGGCTGGTGGCCATATGGTAGAGTGGTGAACCCTGGCTGGAGATTCAGATCTGAGCAGCAGTGGTAGATGTGGAAATTTAATCTGGGCTTGGTTTGAGGGTCTCTTCTAATTGCTGTGTAAAGAGCTTTTGGTGAGGCAGCTGTGAGGGTCTTCTGTGAACTGGGGCCATCTTTACCCTCTTTGCCCTTTTAGTGACTGGCTTTGTGTTCAGATAGACCTTTACAGAGTCTTATGATTACAGTTGATGTGCAGAAAAGCAGCAGCTCTCTGAAGAGCTTGATTTGTGCTTTAGCTGGTTGGAATGCTTTCCTTCTTCCTCAGGCATGTAGCTGGAGACAAAGGGGCCCAGGATCCTTGTCCTGGCAGGCAGGCACCTTGTATAAACAATGGTTGGGCTTCTGTGGAGGGGGCACAAGTGTGCAAACACATCTTAATGCCTGTCCATACAAGTTCTTTTAAGAAAATAAGAATAATTTTTCTCATGTGTGTGTGTATGTGTGTGTGTGTCTGTCTTTGTGTAGGCAGATCCTATAAGCCCAGACACCACTGAAGTCTCCCTGAAACACTTTCTGTGAGTTACGAGTTCAATCACTGTCATTGAATCATATAGCTCTTATTAGCTTTGGATGGCTCAATAAAGACCTCTTGATTTTAAGAGAGGTGACTACAGGATGATAAACAGCTTTTAGAGAGTTGGCCCACTATCAAGTAAAAATGTTGAGGACTGCAGAGAGCCCCCTATATTTTTTAACATAGAGCTCTGTCAGGTACAGTATTTGGCACAGTCTTGAAGGGAGCAGAATCTCATTTAGATTAAGAGATGTTTGATTTACTCTAAATGCAATTGCGTACTAGCTGCCAGTGTCAGACTCACCATGTCCAAGCTGAAATCCTCACCTATAATCTGCTCCCTCTTCTGGGTTTCCCATTTCAGTTGAGAAGTACTGATTATCCACAACAGGTTTCTATATTTCACCCCTGACCTCTTCCTCACGTCTTTCACTTCTAGTTTGCCAACATGTCAAGCAGATTCAAACTCCATGTTATCTCTCAAATCTATCTAGTCCTCTTACCTCCATAAATATCATCTTAATGCAAGCCCTTATTATCCACTAGCAGGAGTATTTAAACCCTCCATCAGGGCTTCTCTGGTCTCACTTTCCTTGCAGCAGCCAGAGAAAGATGGTTCTAAAATGACTGATCAACACCTGCACCATCGAAGCAGTCATCATCTGTTGTTGTTCTCTTTGTAATGTCCTTCACACCCTTTACACCTGTACATTCCACCACTTCTACTTAGCTCAATCCAGCAATACCTGTTCTTTGCCTAAGTGACTGTACTAGCCTCTTAGCTGGTCCCTTGGTTACCAGGCTCCCTCTTACAATAAGACGATTTAAGATTCTCTTTCTAAGCTCTTAAAGGACAATTTCACCAGAACAGATACAGAAGTACTAGAATTTTTATTATTTCAAGGAAAGAGGCCAAGACAGTGGGGAAAGGTGGAAAACACAGACTATGATGGGAAGACAGATTGAAGGATGGAGAGAGTTCAGACCCTGGAGCCGTGCAGGTCTTCATTTGACTCTTGGCTCCTCTGCCTCCCTGTGTGGCTGACTCTTCTTGAGACTCATTTTCCTTTACTGCAAACTGGAAATAATAATGCTTACTTTACTAGGTGAAGAGAAAAGAACATTTATGTGAGCTCTGAAACATGACAATTGTGAGTTTTTAGTTCCTTTTCTTTTCCTTTGAAAGCCTATAATCTTTATTATATATCATGTGTATGTATAGTTATCTGCATTTAGTACAATAGCAAAGAAGAGTGGCAAAGAATTACATGAGAGCTCTCTTGAGAAAGTTACAGTTATTTAAGAAGATAAGGTCAACTGAAATAGCACAAAACATCTATAACCACAAGCAGTCCGGGACTGTAATGAGTGCCAGTGGAGTACATGAGCAGGAAGGGTGTGAGTGAGCAAGTTTCTGGATAGCTGCAGAAAGAGTGTACATAGGTCTACATTAAGCAATTTCAGATTTAGGCTCCTTGACAATTTAAAAATCATTGGCTTCTCTGATACTGAAGTTTCCCAAAAGACTATATATTTTCAGAGTGATTTAAGGACACATAGATTAACATTTAAAGAGATATGATTCATGCGTTCATTCGTTCATTCATCAATCAAGCATTGATTGAGGGCTGGGTCCTACACTATAGAAATTCTTTGCTATTTTTCTCCTTCTCTTTAATCTGTGCTGAGTTTACAGACTCGCTTGGTCAACAGAATGAGAAGAAAATGATACTTTGAGACAATCAGGGCTGTGTTTTAAGAAAGAAGGAATCCAACCAGAGATTACTTTGCCCTTTTGTATTCTCTGGCTTAACACCACTAAAGGAGCAAATACTTTCATTTAAAAAGTCTTTATTTATTTTGCCTTTATTTTCAAAGAATAGCTATGAAGAACAGCCTCACTGAATAAATTATTGTTTGGAAAAAAGCATGAGAAAGAGACTCAGTTACTTTGCTAATGAACTTTACCATTATTAAAGAGTCAGTGGGAAAAAGATGCCTTCCACACACATGCATACTTCTCAATCTTTGCCCTGCATCACCTGCCCACCTAATTCTCTCCAAGTGAAGTTGTGCTGAAGAGTTACCTTTCCTTGTCTGCTGGCCCCACGCCATCTTCCCATGGACTTTAGAAGCGAGGAGAAGAGAGGAAATGTGAAGTCAAGGAACTTTCCTGAGGCCTGGTAAAATGTAGCTGAGAAAAGAGCAGCAGAAGGATTGAAAACAAGTTTTAGAGAAGCCACAAGGATTACTGGTGAAAAGCATGAATTTTGAAACTGAATGATCTATGTTCTAATCTAGACTTTCACATTTTTTAGGTGGCTGGTGGTGACTAGACATGCCTAGTCTCAGTTTCCTCATCATTAAAATCTGGATAATAATTCCTTTGTACAAAGTTCTTTTTTTTGCACAAAATTCTTGAGATTAAATGAGAAGAAATTTGTAGAATGCCTAATGATTGCACATACTGTCTAATACATGCATGTTAAATAAGCAGCCAATGTTGGCAACAGTGAGAGTGCGGGGGTACTATTGATGGTTCTGTTGTTATAATCCCAAGTCACAGGCTACCTGGCAAATCCAAAGTTTCGATTAGTTAGAAGTTTCAAGGTGTACCTTCAACAAACACCTATATCCAACTTAATACGGACACTCAGAGCGTCTATTCTGTGCGCTTCTTACTGCCCCAAGCACGTTTCCAAAGGCTGTAGAAGCATCGCTGTGGAACGTGAACTGAGATCATGCTTTCTGATTGCTTGTGCACCCTCTTCTTCCCTTCTATTATAGCAGGCTGCTGAGAGGGTCAGAACTCAATACATTTTTAATATTAGCATTTGCAAAATCCTATTAAAGAAGAAACTGAAATGGAGGGACTATTGCAAGAATCCTGAGCCTAGAATGCTTCAAAAATTTTAGGTTTCCCAGCTTATAGTTGCCACCACTTTGGTAAGACACTCAGGGCGAAGGATAAAATCACTCTTGAGAGCAAGATGTGAATATTCAGCTCTATTCCTTTATTCATTATCTTATAAATAAGAAATTTTAATTTATGAATTGATCTTTGGCAAACAGGTTCAATTAAATTTATTGTTAGTCTAGTCATATGGGGCTTTTAAACCAAAAATGATACGAACATTCTGGCTACAAAGAATAGCTGATCTGAGTATTTTAGATGTTTATTACAAAATATTTATAGATTTTTGAGTCCATGTCCACCTCACTCAGCCTCCCCTATTGTTAACATTTTTATAAATATAGAACAATATCAAAATAAAAAAACTGATATTGATACAATCTTCAACCTTTATTCAGATTTTGATACAATGTATGTAATTGTGGGCAACTACTTGCAACTTTTATCGTATTCACTTCATGTAATTACCGTGATAACAGAAATACAAAAATATAGTATTACTACAAGGATTCTTTGCACTACTCCTTTGTACCTCTTTCTGTTTCTAATCCTTTGGGATGGTTAATCTGTCATCAATATGTTATTTCAAAAGTGTTATGTAAATGGGATCGTATAGTATATGACCTATGATAGTGGGTTTTTGCACCCACCGTGATATCCTTGAGGTCTATCCGAGTAGCTGCGTGTATCACTGTTGGTTCTTTGTTGTCAGTGTGTAATATTGTGTGCTACGGCTGCACCACAGTTTACTTAAGCCGTCACTCATTTACCCACGGAGGACATTTGGAGAGTTTCCTTTTTTTTGTTTATTACAAATAAAGCTGGTATGAGCATTGCTGAACAAGTTTCTGCATGAACATAAGTTTGCATTTCTCCAGGATGAATGCTCTTTCTGGGTCTTTTTTGTTTGTTTGTTTTTCTCCGGTACCGGGAACCGAACTCACGACCTTGCGCTTGCCAGGCAGGCGCTTTGCCGCTGAGCTAAATCCCCAGCCCCTCTTTCTGGATCTTAAAGTAAGGCCATTTGCAGTTTTAAAAGAAACTGCCAAACTATTTTTTAAGTGAGTCTAACATTTTATAATGCCACTAGGAATGTGTAAGTAATGAAATTTCTCTGTTTATTTGCCATCATTTGGTGTTATCACTTTTTTATTTTAGTCATCCTAATAGATAGGTAGTAATATCATATTGTGGTTTTAATTTTCATTTTCTAATGGCCAATATTGTTGGATGACACCTGTTAATGCAGTTGTTATTTGTGAATTCTTTCAGTGAAATGTGTATTCTTGTATTTTCTCTATTTCCTAACTGGCAATTTTTAACTAT